GGGCAAACTCTAATCAATGGGTAGAGAGACCGTGTTGAGAAGAGCTCTGAGGCCCTGTGCAGATTTCCTAGGGAGTGGTGCTGTGATTGATTGATTATGTCTGCAGGGGATATGGGGACAGGTAGAGTCTTTCCATGATGTGTCTTCCACCCGTTGGGGTCTCATTTCTCTATAGGAGTGTTTATCTTCTTAGTCTGATCTTCCCAACCAGCCATTCTGAGACCAGTGGGACCCTCATTACCATCTCAGATTCACGACTGAAGGAACTGGTCCAGAGAAGGAAAGTGACTTTCCCAGTTAGCACTGCAAGGTGTCCATGGCCCTTTGCTCTCTGTGAAGGTTTCTCCTCTCCATGGAGCTGAGGCTGGTGGGTTTTGTCAAGAGGAACTCACATTACTCATCCTTTCCCAGACCCAGCAGCCCGTTAAGAAATAGCGTAGTGTGGCCTGCCTGGAAAGACTGACTCCAAGAGGGTGCTGATGAGAGCTTTGACATGCTTGCTACAGGAAGGAGGAAGAGAGGGGCCAAGCCCACCTGCTGATCCCCACCCCACCAGCTCCCCGTCTGGAGGAAGGCAGGGCAGCCCACACTGTGCCCTTCCCCTGTGCTGGGATCCCCGCTAGGTGCCTTCCTTCTACCATTTTGTTTCCTCTTCATGACAAAAACTCAGGAGTCTGGATTCCTCGCTTTTATCTTCTATATCCAACCCACTAGCAAATTCCATCAGCTCCACATTCAAAGTACACCCAGATTCCACCACTTCTCACCCCCTCCACTGCCCCTGCAGTGGGTCCCTTTGTATCTGTCCTCACATGTGAGGTGGCTGTTAATATCCCATTTTGCTGATGAGACTGAGGCTCAGAGATTGTGGCTACCCAAGATTAGAGAAAGCAGAGATGGCCATGAGGCAGTCCTATTACTTTCTCTTTTTATTTATATATTTATGTATATATTGTTTTTATTTATTTATTTTACATAAGAGAGGACATGAAGAGGGATGTGGAGAGATTAAGACATGTTTAAATCACTCAGAGTTCTATCTAAAGAAAACCACTGTTGTGTTGATATATTTTCTTTTGGCCTTTCTAAAATTAGGATTTGGGTTGGGTTTTTTTAATGCATAGTTATAGTTTCCCTAGACATGTAATTTATCCTTATGATACCTAACATTATGGCATCAGCCCCCTCCACGAGGTTGCAAACTCTGCTGAACATTATTTTTACCAACTCCATAAGATCCCTAGGAGAGTCCACAGCCATCATGAGTGGCCAGGGAAGCCCTGGGCCCGGAGTCAGGGGTCTGTGGACAAGTGATTGCACACTCGCTTCGTCACTACAGTGAGGGATGGCACCCCCGATCTGGGTCCTCCCGGCATCAAAAGCAAAGGCCCTTTTGAACTATAAAGGGCTAGGACCCGGGCAGGAATTTTCCTTGTTGCCTCAGTCTCCTTCCGGGAAGTCCTGCCCTCCCAGTGGCTCCTGAGCCTTTCCTAAGGGGTTTCCTGCAGCAGTACCAGAGCCTAGCGTCTCTGAGGCAATCCCATGATGGCGCTCCTGTATGTTACCCCCAAGGGGACATTTCCTCTGAGCAGAACAGGTGTCCTAACTTGCAGAGACCACCAGCCCACACCTCTGCCTTTGCCCACTTCTGGGCCCACAGTTGTGAGGCCTCTCAGGGATTTCTCCCTTCTCTTTCCCCACCAGCCTGGGACACCCCTGAGAGGCCTCTGGGCTCTGCTATGACCTCAGGAAAGCCCCAGAGCCATTGATACTAAAAACCGTGGCACCTACCTCATCGCAGCAGTCAGTTGCAGGTAGAGCTTGGCCCTAGGACTCTGGACACCTACCCCTTCTTTTCCCAGCAACACGCAGAAGTATACATTCCACTGGAACTAAACCAATTACGAGGTTACGAAGGCCCAACTTCAGTTCCCAGCTCCACCACCTCCCTTTTCTCATCCTCGCTTCTTCCTCTCTAAAATGGACATAAGACTGCTGACCTTGAGGGACTGAGGGTTGTATGGGGGAACATGTGTCCAGCACTAGCACATAGTGAGGTCTGGCTCTGACTGTCAATGTCAGCGCTTTTCGAGTGAACATACAGGCCTGGCACAGAACAGGGGCCCAGGGAGGGGTGTCCGCTGTGCAGGGCTGAGCAAGGACTGTCCGGGACGCCCTGAGAGTGTCCCCCAGCAGTTATCTGCTAGGTCTCGTTTACAATCCTGCTCCTTTTACATCAGCTGCCCCTCCCGTTGCCTCAGTCCCATTTCTATAGTGACCCAGCGACAACCACTTTGGATGCATGCATAGCTCTTCACAGTTTGGATTGCACTTCAGTGAGAGCCAATCAACTTATGTGAGGAGGGCAGGAGAAGAATTACTGCTTTGTGGTTCCCAGGACCGGGCCGGAAAGGGTGATGGGAGGCCCCCTCTCTGGAGGGGTAGCGTTTGGGCTCCCGGTTACATAAGCAGGAGCTCACGAGAGGCCATTTGGCATTTAATAGGCACCTTATATAATCACCTTTGGGAACCAAAGGGTAATCTCGGTATTTTTTTGTACCTGTGTTGTTTGTTCAAACCCCAGGAAGAGTGGATATGAGCAGATCAGCTTAGCAGGGAAGGTGGGGCCCCGAGTGGTAATGAACCCCTGTGGTAAAGCTCACACAGGAGAACAAAAGGTGCCTGAAGCAAGTTAATTCTTTTCCTTTTGGTTCCAGACATTGGAGCACTCTATCCTCCCTCAGTTGGGACCAAGCCCAGGATGCACCTGGGCTGGGTTTAATCCTCAAATTGGACTCTATAATAGAAAGGGGTGGGGAAGGAGGGGCCCCCCTAGGGGAGCAAGGGAGGAGAGCCCCACTTCGTCCTGCCCCCATGCAGAGCCAGTGGGGATCAAGTAGCTACCCCTTTAAAGTTTCATGGAGGGCTGGTAATACTATCGTGCTGCTCCCTCCCCACCCACCCCAGTCTAGAAGGTGGGCAGGTCCCTGGTCCATCCCTCCCTGAAGGCCAGTGGGAGAGATGGTGGCGGTAAGACAGAGCAGGGGGGCAGAGTAGGGCTACCCCAGATGAGACCTGCTGGAGTGAGGCTTCGTGCCTTCCGTCTCCCAGGCTGAGTGGTTGCTGTGTGGTGGGATGGGATAACCACAGACTGTCCAGTTAGACGCCTTCACTGCTCGGCCCTCTTCCTCATTCTCCCGTGAGCACCACCACGGAGCTGCAGTGGGCACACACATGGGCTTTGGCAGACAGATGTGCGTGGGTGTGAGGATCGAATGTAAGAGTGTACATGTAGTGCCTGGCACCGGTGGCAGCCGCGCGCTAATTGTACAGGGACGGAAACAAGCCAGGAGAGGGACATGGCTTGCATCATAACATGTGGCTTGTATCATAACATGTGTCTGGGGAAAGCCCCTCTTGGATCTTGTCTCTCCCTGACAGCCCTGCCAGAGGCAGCAGATGAAAATAGAGGAATTGGAACTGAGCAGACCTGGGTTCTAATCCTGCCCTACTTTTTACTAGTTCGGGGTAAACCCTTTTCCTGTCTGAGCCTCTATGCCAGTGGTTCTCAACCTTCCTAATGCTGCGACCCTTTAATACAGTTCCTCATGTTGTGGTGACCCCCAACCATAAAATTATTTTCGTTGCTACTTCATAACTGTAATTTTGCTATTGTTATGAATCGTAATGTAAATATCTGATATGCAGGATGTATTTTCATTGTTACAAATTGAACATAATTAAAGCATAGTGATTAATCACAAAACAATATGTAATTATATATGTGTTTTCCGATGGTCTTAGGCAACCCTGTGAAAGGGTCGTTCAACCCCCAAAGGAGTTGCAACCCACAGGTTGAGAACCGCTGGTCTATTCCTTCATCTGTATAATGGGGGAACCCTTTATACAGGTTAAAGGAAGAGCCAAAGAGGGGTAATAGCTGTGTCAGCTGTGGGTAGGGGCTTGGGACGGGTATCCCCAGAGCCCATCTGGAAGTCTTTACAATTGAATTTGTTATATAGATAGGTAGACATGAGCAGAGCAAGGACGATGGGCCACGTACAGAAACTCACCAGGGCAGGATTTGTCTAACGATGAGACCCCTGTTCTTGTCTTCTTGAAGGAAAGATTTTAATCCAGCGACAAAGTGTAGCAAAGTGAGTGAGAGTTTATTGGCTGCAGCAAAAATATATTTAGGACAGTGAAACAAGGAAGGGCATAGGAGAAGCAACAGGAGAGTCTAGGCTGGGCTGCTTTGGCTCACTGGGAAGTCAGAGAAAAAAGGGGCTTGGAGACAGGCTCAGGGGGTGAGTCCAGGACGAGCCGCTGCCGCCCACTGCTCCCCTGATTGCAAGTCTCCTGGGGTCCCTTAGTGGAAAGAAGGGGGAAGGAAAGGGCGTGGGCATGCTCCCCTGGGGGGCAGTGGCGTACCCGGGGTTCTTCATTCCGAACGTGTTTATTCCTCTCTTGCAGGTGGAAATCTTAGGGGAGGTCTCAGGGGAAGGCCTCAAAAGAATATTCATCAGCTTTCCAGGTGTGCTCTTTCAGGGTCATGGTCTCTACTGATTGGTGGGTGTCAAGGCAGGGGGTCACTAGTCAATGTAGCTGGTCCTGAGGCAGCCACTGTGTCACTTGTCTAGTTTTGCTGCTTTTCTGGGCCTGGAGCTGAAATACAACTGAGGCCTAGATGTTATCGTAGGGAGGAAAAGGTCAGGGGGTCCAAACCACAGGACCAGCGATATGCTGGGGGAAGAAGGTTACCCTGGGGATGAGGTTCTTGTCTTTCTAGTTTTGCCCCTTGCTAGGCATCCAGGGCTTTCTGCCCTGGTGAGCTCCTGTACCTGGCTCAGCGTCCTTGCTCTGCTCTTGTTGCCTAACTATCTATATAACAGAATGAAGGCTCCTGCCTCTGGAGGATAGGCCAGGCGAGGGGGCTTAGGACTGTAGACTCACCCATCGTCACCCACAAAAGAGGTGAGGTGGGGCCAGTCCCTGCAGGGAGAGGCTCCCATCTGGGAGGCTGGTGTGTGGGTCTTGGGCATGGCTCAGCCACTGCCAAACCGTGACAGAGAGCCATGCTTCCTCTGCTCCATCTAGTTCCCCTCCCAGTTACTTGTGGCCATGCGTGACTTTCTGAACCTCTCTAAGTCTCAATTCCCTCTTCATGAAGCGATGGCAATTTTTGTGATTGTGAGGGTCAAGCCAGTCTGTGTGGCAGCTGGCACAGCACCGGGCACATGCTCAGCACAGGTGAATGGAACACCCTGACCCCAACCCCTGAGCTGTGAGCCCCTCCCTATAGGGCCTGGATTGAGACCAGCCCAGGGCCCTGGAACGTCCGAGCTCTGGAGGCCAGCTAAAGAGCCATCTAGTCCAGTGGGTTTCCAGCTGGGTTCCTTAACCTCCTACGGCAGAGATGGTGAGCAGGCATGGAGAGCTCTAGGCCCCAACCCTCACTTCAGCCAGAACAGGCCCACTTTCATCTGATAATGTTTAAGAAGGAGTTCTGCTGCTTGCAGTTTAAAATCCACCAATCTGGTCCAGCCTGCGTGGCTCAGTGGTTGAGCATCGACCTAGGAACCAGGAGGTCAGGGTTTGATTCCCGGTCAGGGCACATGCCCAGGTTTCGGGCTCCATCCGCAGTAGGGGGCGTGCAGGAGGCAGCCAATCAATGATTCTCTCTCATCATTGATGTTTCTATCTCTTCCTCTCCCTTCCTCTCTGAAATCAATAAAAAATATATATATTTTTTTAAATCCATGAATCTGGCCTGACCCCCTTTACCATACAGATGGAGAGAGCGAGGCCTGAGAGGAACAGGGACAAGGAATTATAGGAGGAGTATTCAGGGAAAGAATCCTGGGAGGGCAGGGCGCTGGTGGTAACTTTCAGCTGTGCCTAGACACTTTGGCTGGTGTCTTATGGGGCGGGGTTAGTACCATCTGGTATGGGGTGCCTGCTGTCAACCCTCACCTATGGCTCTCTTTCTAGCGCCGACCATGCTGTGGCCCCCGCTGCTGCCCCTGCTGCTGTTGCTGGCCGTGAGCTGGGTCCAGACGACCCGGCCATGCTTCCCCGGGTGCCAGTGTGAGGTGGAGACCTTCGGCCTCTTTGACAGCTTCAGCCTGACACGAGTGGATTGCAGTGGCCTTGGCCCCCACATCGTGCCTGTGCCCATCCCTCTGGACACAGCCCACCTGGACCTGTCCTCCAACCGGCTGGAGACTGTGAACGAGTCGGTGTTGGCAGGGCCAGGCTATACCACGCTGGCCGGCCTGGATCTCAGCCATAACCTGCTCACCAGCATCTCGCCCACCGCCTTCTCCCGCCTTCGCTATCTGGAGTCGCTTGACCTCAGCCATAATGGCCTGGCAGCCCTGCCTGCAGACAGCTTCACCAGCTCGCCCCTGAGTGAGGTGAACCTCAGCTACAACCGGCTCCGTGAGGTCCCAGTGTCCGCCTTCACCACCCACGGCCAGGGCCGAGCGCTGCACGTGGACCTCTCCCACAACCACATCCACCGCCTCGTGCCCCACCCCGCTGGGGCCAGCCTGCCCACGCCCACCATTCAGAGCCTGAACCTGGCCTGGAACCGGCTCCGCACTGTGCCCAACCTCCGGGACTTGCCCCTGCGCTACCTGAGCCTGGATGGGAACCCGCTGGCCGCCATCGGCCCAGGTGCCTTCACAGGACTGGCTGGCCTGACACACCTGTCGCTGGGCAGCCTGCAGGGTCTCCCCCAACTGGCACCCTATGGTTTTCATGAGCTGCACAGCCTGCAGGTCCTAGACCTGTCAGGCAACCCCAAGCTCAAGTGGGCAGGAGCGGAGGTATTCTCAGGCCTGGGCTCCCTGCAGGAGCTGGACCTGTCGGGCACAAGCCTGGTGCCCCCACCTGAGACGCTGCTCCTCCACCTCCCAGCGCTGCAGAGCGTCAGTGTGGGCCAGGGCATGAAGTGCCGGCGCCTGGTACGGGAGGGTGCCTACCCCCGGCAACCTGGCTCCAGCCCCAAGGTGGCTCTGCAATGCATAGACATTGGGGAACCAGCTTCCAGGGCTTCCAGGGGCCTCAGCATCTTGTGACAAATGGTGTGGCCCTGGGCCACACGACAGACTGCTGCCCGGGCTGACTCAGGTCCTGGGTAATTTATATTTGAATGTGCCAATGCCAGTGGGGACTCTGCAAGCCTGTATGGCAGCAGCATCGAAAGACAGCTGTGGACTGAGAAGAGGCTTTGGACCTGGGACAACACCCAGGAGGAAAGCCTTGCCCTTTGTCTGTATTGCCCCCACACCATAAGCAGGGGGTCTTTGATGCCAAACTGCACAGCTGCCCGCTGCTGTCCTTCCCCACTCGACCCCCAAGTGCCTTCCCTCAGGCCTGGGCCAACCTGACTATGAGGAAGGTCAGAGGTCCGGTCCATGGCTGAGTGCCCCCTTGGGCCCATGGTCCAGCCACTCAGGGGCATGGGTTTCTTTTGCTCCGGGCACATGGGGCCCACTTTATCCTTTTCTGTTCCCCTGGAGCCCTGGGTAGAACTTTAGTTACAGAAAGGACTGGGGGGTGCCCCCCTCCTCATGTGGCCGATGGGAGAACTGAGGCTCAGAGAGGAAAATTGGTAATCTGAGGTACTGCAGCGGCAGAGGCATAACTGCCTCCCAGCCAGGCCCCTTTGCACTTTGCTGTCTTCTCTAAATCATGGCCTCCCTCTCCCCTTTCTGGGCTCCCCTTTGCTGCCAAGACCCACATCCTACCATTGGCACCCATTTCCTGTCATCCCGGGGAGGTAGGACTCTGGCCCACTGACCAGCTGCAATGCCCGGGCTGTCACTTCACTTCTCAGAGCTTCTGGAAGCGTCAGGCATGCCAGTCCCAGCCCTGCCAGTTTCCCACTCGGGTGGGGTCCCCCAGCATCAAGACTGGAAACGTACCCATTGATCCTTGAGGTCCTGTTCCTAGATGCTCCCCCAAGATGTTGATGCAGTCCTGGAGTCCCCCCCAACCCCCCTGCCACAAGCCAGGACGGGCCTTCCAGATTCAGCCCCCACTGGCCCAGAGCCCACAGCCCACCTCCCCTACTGTGAGTGCAGCAGAAGGAGGCAGGCAGTCCCCACCCAGTATTATGTTCCCCCACCAGGGTGGCATCTCAGCCTCCCAGCCCTGGCTCTTTCCTTAGGCTCGTTTTATAGATGTTGTCTTTTTTATGGACTGTCACCTTTAACCCGTTCCCCACCCCCACCCCTGCTGGCAGGGGATGCAAAGTGTCATTTGTAAAAGAAAAAGAGTTGCATTTGTTCACTTTCTGTAAGAGTGTGTCCTGGGGGGATGTTGGGGAAGGAGGTGTTGGGTGGAAGCCAGCCATCCGTGGCCATGTGGGCAACAGGGGGCTGGTCCCACAAAGACACCGCAGGACAGTGAGAGCTCTGTCCCCCACCGGCCCCGCCCGGCACCTAACTAGTCCTTGGTTCAATAAACGTTAGAAAGAGTCCCTCTTTCCATCACTCGACCAGTGTCCACTCATATTGCCTGGGCTGGGCCCTGGGGCCACAAGGATGAATCAGCACCAGCCTTGCCCTGGGGAGTGTGTTCTTCCTGAAAAGCCCAATAGGGGAGAGAGGTGACATGGGGGGACTACTCGGGGGGTAGGGGGGTGCACCAACAGCTTGCACCCTGTCCACCTTCCTTATCTCCCCTCTCCCATGAACTCACACGCCTTGCCCTCCTCTCTACCTCTCAACTCCTCCCCATGCTAATGGACCCAGTTCCTGTCTCACCTCCTTCAGAAGTTTTCCCTGAGGTCCCTCCTCTGAGCTCCAACAGTACTTTGTTCCTTCCTGTCATTTCACTGCTGTGCTAACTCCTCTGCACTTCCAGTGACAGGGGAGCTCATTTCCAGCTCATCTGAGTGGCTCTACTGTCAGCAAATTCTTCCTTCTAATTGGCCAAGGTCTGCAGGAATATCCATCACCATCATCCCCAACAACCACTGGTCACCCCATCTCTACCCTAAGGAGACTCACATTCTCTGGTTCCCTGGGATGGGAGGGGGTAAGAGGATACCTAACTAAAAAGCACAGGGAGCTGTGAGCCCTGTGGACGGGTCAGGAAGGCCCGGAGGAGGCTCATCCATCCATAGCTGAGTAGGACAAGTGGGCCTGGAAAGAAGGGGCTGGCACTTGGGAGGGGTTATAGGTGAGCAATGCACAGAACCCAGAACATGCAGGTCACAGGTATGGGTGGGGAGCTTGCTCATCTTGTCACTCAACCTTCCCCCCCCCGCCCCCCCCCCCTCACACACACACACACACACACACACATAGGAACCCAAAGCTGGCACCATGGTCAATAATGAAAGGGCTGAGGCATGAGAGGGGGGTGTTGTGAGAGTAAGACCCTGGCCCTTAGAGTCCTCCGATTGGTTCTCCACCCCTTCTGCATTCCCTGGATTAGAGAGATTTCAAATGCAGGGTCCGGGAAAGATCTCTGGGACTTTCGCCCAATGGGTCTGGGCCCTCCCAAAGCCCTGCTTGAGGAAGGAGCACTTGAGAGAGGGACATGGAACACAGGGGTTTTAGAGATAGGGACAAAGGGGTGCTGAAGGCAGGGGTGGGGGTGGGGGTGCTGGGGCTCCTGCAGGAGAAGAGGAGCACTGAGGCAGGTCATCTCCGCCCTGAGACAGCTGTAGTGGGAGGGTGCAGATGCCACCACATGGTGCAGGGCCCTCCTTCCTGTGGGGTCATCCTATACCCCCAGCCCTGGCCTCCAGGAGGGCAGAAGCCCCACAGGCGTCTCTGAGGCCCCTCCAGAGGCTCCCGGCCCGCAACGCCACCTTGTGGTTGTGCGTGGCCAGACAGCCCAGGTCCGTGGGGGTTGTGGGAGCAAGGCCAAAGTGGCCCTGTGCAGTTTGTGCAGCCTGCCTCACCTTCCCCTAGCCTAGCTAGACTGCTTTCATCCTGCCGTATCTGCCCTCCTGGAATCCTGGGGTTAAGAATGGGGTCATTCAGGATGGAGGGACCTGGAGAATATTATGCTAAGTGAAATGAACCAGTCAGAGAAAGACAAGTATCGCATTATCTCGTATGTGGAATCTAATGAACAAAATAAACTGATGAATGGAGTGGATCCAGAGACATGGAAGCATGGAATCTCAGAGGGGAGGGTGGGTGGGTGGGAAGTGATCAACCAAAGAAAATGCATATATGCATAACCCATGGACACAGACAATAGGGTGGTGAAGGCCTGGGGTGGGGGTGGGGGCGGGCTAGAAGGGGTCAATGGGGGAAATAAGGGGGCATATGTAATACTTTCAACAATAAAGATTTTAAAAATAAAGTTATAAATAAAAGAATGGGGTCATTAAAATCTTACAGAATTATAGAGATAAGTGCAAAGCTTCCACTGGCGTTCACAGAAAAGAGTAACATCCTGGGTCCATCCAAACCAGTTGTGTGGCTTTGACCAAGTCACTTTACCTGGACGGGCCTGGAAAGTGGGGATGAAAATGTCTCCCTCCGCAGGATTGTATGGAGAGTAAATCGAGCTCAATGCGTGGCTCAAAGCAGATACTCCCTAAGTTCTTGTTCTGGAACTCCCTCATTCTATCATAGGGTCATGAATTAGATTACAGAACCATATAGTCTAAGACTCACATTTTGATAACTGACTCAGAACTGGACAATTTCATAGAAGCTTACAATTTAGAACTGTAGAACAATAATCCACAGGATCTTTGCTCTGTGTGCCTAACATGGAATGGGCCTTTAATGCACATGTCAGCTGAGTTTTAGAGATGGCAAAACAACTAAGATACAATTTGCCATCATGATATAGGCTGGGTGACAAGCATTTCCTTGCATGTCATTAATAATACAACTGCCATTTACTGAGCGCACGTTTCTCCAACTTTGTGTACATACTATCATTTCCTCCTCCTGATAACTGCCATCAGAATTATTGTCAACATACAGACGAGGAAACCAGCCTGGGCCTGGCTCCATCTGTCAGATGGTGTATCCCTCGCGCTTGCCTGTCCCACCTCAGTGGCCCAGCCAGCAGTACACAGAGAGGACAGAGATCCTCTGTAAAACCAAAGAACACTGGGATTCCATTTATTTTACTGTTGAAAACAAATTGGGGAAGTTATGCGGCTTTGCATATCTCTAATCAGATCATTATTTCTAGATCCTAGAGCATAAAAAGCCAAAGATCAAAGTCCTTGCCCTCCTAGCCCCATTTCACAGATGGGGAGAGTGAGGCCCAGAGAGGCGCAGCCTGCATGCACATGGCAGGTGGCCGGGACTCTCTGTTTCAGAACTGGCTGCATCATTTGTGGGACCCAGTACAAAATGAATATGTGGGGCCTCTTGTTCAAAAATTATTAAGAATTTCAAAATGGCAAGAGCTGAGCATTAAATCAAGTGCAGGGCCCCTCTAAGGTCCCACTGCCCATGAAGCCAGCCCTGGTGTGCTTAAGTCACACCATTTACAGAAACAGAAGGGACAATCACCCAGTGTTGGGCAGAACAGCAGATGAGAGCTTGTGGTTCTGTGTGTAGCCCAATCCCTCTGTAACTCAGGGAGCCGATTAGATCTTTAAAACCCAGGAGTTTTCCTCCATGGGTGTTACCACACCACCTCCCGATTTTCCCCAAATTGCCATGGTCAACAGGCTTTCAGAGAGAGGGCAGATGGAGATATAGGAACTGACACCCACCACTTGTCTCTAAGCCAGCTCGTAGAATGTTTCTCTGAACAAGACTGCCAGAAGTCTACCCTCTGCTCATACTTAATGTCCACCAGACAATAGACTTCATCATAGGCTAATAGGACTTTGCCCATAGAAGCTCAATGTTATGTGTTGGCTAATGTCTACTAGGGAGCAAATGTCCATTGACAACAAATGTTTATCAATACCTCATGTTCATCGGGGGGAGGGGGCCAGGTGTGGGCAGGGAGAGGTCAATGGGGGAAAAAGGAGACATATGCAATGTGTCAACAATAAAGAATTTTAAAAAGAATACCTCCTGTCCATCAATGACAGCTCTCATCAATGGCAGATATCCACAAAGGGAAAATGTCCAGCTGTGGCAATGTCCACTACTGCTCAATATATACCAATGCCCCGTGTTCGCAGGTGGCTTATTGCAATTATAACTGCTCTGTGCATCGATACCTAATGTCAGTCCATAGCTCAACATCTGGCAACAGCAAATAGCTACCCAGTTAAGTCCTAGGCCTTGTGTTTACTCTTCTCTTTTATTTATTTAAGTGCCAGTAGTTGTATTTATGGGGATTGTTGTGTTTCTTGAGTTAGGCAGGAAATTCTCCCTGTGTTTACTGTTTAATTCCACAAGCTATTTATATTATCTTTTACACACCCATTAGTCAAAATATTCTGAGTTAGAGATGCCAACATACATTTCTGTTTCTTGATATATACTCATGGGTATATATAGCATGTGCATATAATTATTATATACACAATTCAGAAAAACAGAGAAAAATAAACTGGTTTGAGGACAGAAGTGTCAACCCTGAAACAATTTTCTAAATAGATGATTCTTAGAAGCAGCAGTTTTTCCAAAGCGGAGTGATGGTTCGTGGCATCAGCCCATCTGCTCAGGCAAAGAATTGACAAAGAGCCCTACTTTGTGCTGAAAAAAGCCAGGCTCCCTAATTAGGTTAAGGCACACACAACACATGGGCTTCTTAAGGCAACATAACTAGTGGTTAAGACGTAGGCTCCAAAGGGAGGCTGCCTGAGCTCAAAGCCCCGAATGCTGCTTGTGGCTACGCGGCCTGGGTAAGCCACTCAACCCCTGAGCCTCAGTTTCCACATCTGTAAAATGGAGATAGCAGCTCCTCTCAGAGTCGTTGTGGGGAATATAAGTCAATGCACATAAAACACTTAGAAGAGTGCCTGCATGTAAGTGCCACATCTATACTAATAAAAGCCTAGGTGGCCCTTGCAGCCTCGTGTCATTACAAGATGGCCGCCCCCATGTCGTCACAAGATGGCCAGCAAGGGAGCAGTTAGGCGTCAATCAGGCTGGCAGGGGAGCAGTTAGGGGGTGATCAGGCTGGCAGGCAGAAGCAGTTAGGGGCAATCTGGCAGGCAGGCAGGTGAGTGGTTAGGAGCCAGCAGTCCCAGATTGTGAGGGGGATGTTTGACTGCCGGTTTAGGCCTGATCCTAAACCAGCAGTCGGACATTCCCCCGAGGGGTCCCAGATTGGAGAGGGTGCAGACTGGGCTGAGGGACACCCTCTCCCCGCTCCAGTGCACGAATTTCATGCACTGGGACTCTAGTAATAAATAATACAAAAATTTTTTTTTTGAAAATTCTTTCTTTTGTCAAACTGACAAGCATTCTCAGGCAGGGTCTCTTCAGTGGCCACCAGTTCTCAGCAGGTGACTCCATCCAAGTTGTTATGCTTAGAAATGTGTCTGAAAAGAGTTTCTACCCTCCATCCAGTACATGTCACAATTGCCTCACCATTATAGCTT